GAGAGAGAGAGAGAGAGAGAGAGAGAGAGAGAGAGAGAGAGAGAGGGCATTGTTGGTTGCCTCTTCTCAGCCGACCTCTCCTTTTTTCCTCGCCTCTTCGAACGCTTGTTGGCATAGTCTAGAGCAAAAACAGCGACCAGCGCTTACGTGGATATTGTTGCGCTTCCTCCGCCACATGCTGCATCATCTTCCGGAGAAGAAATTTTGTATGTAGACTATATGCATAACGTGCGGTGGAACGGATGATGCGCCGCGCGTGGCTACACCATAGACTACTACTACTGCTGTCTGCTGTTTTTCACTCCACGAGTATTTATTTATAGCACTGCCGTCAATCACACAAAGGTAGGTCGGAATTTGTGTGTGTGTCTGCCTGGCCTACCTCCATTTCCTTTTTTGGGGGAGAACAAGATGGAGTGTAGTGCTGTTGCAACGCATATGGTACATATTATAGGGTGTGTGATTTGTATTATTATTATTTTTCAGGTTTGGGGAATTTCAGGGTTGGGTTGTACATATGATAATGAACAGGATTTTTTATACTTGCTGATGGAAAACACCCGGGCTACCGTTCCTAGATGGAGCCAGTCTATGCCATTGTTGTTATTGTTGTCTTCACGTTAAAGACCCGTTCTGGTCTCCACTCAGTACCTTCAAATGTCCGTACTGGTCCAACTGAAGCGGACGCCTTCCGTGGTCACAAGCCAACTGGCCCCCGTAGGAGAGAAGTAAAGTCATAATTTACAGGATCTCCGATCCTCCACTTCTGTTCCATTCGAAATGATGTGTTCGTTAGACTTTCATTTCTAGAGAGAGGTGGATAGTTAGGTGTTTTAACGGAACATCGGGGGCGGGGGCACCCACTATAACAGCTAGTATGCCGCCAAGCATCGAACGTTATTGTGGTATGGTCAAAGACGAACATCAATCAATGCGGGCAGCATCATGAAAAGAGATATTGACACGGTTCAGTGTCGATGAATATCATAGAGAGGCATCGGTTTGCGCACACGATATGACGAGGGGGCCAAAGTGGGGAGAGTAATCCCTGAGTCTCGCTTCTCCGGAGCTCGAATATTGAAAAAGGCTAGACCGAAGGCAAAAGGTGAGGTATGGATATTGCGAGCGATCTTGCCAGCAACCTCTTTGATGCATCGATGGGGTGAAGAAGAAACGATAATAATGAGTAGAAGGAACATTCACTTGGCGGCCAGGCTGTTCGCGGCCTCGACGAGGGGTGAGTGCTGTTTCCCGTCACTGTTAATGGCATGCTGTATATCGCAAATACTCTTCAGTCTTAGGTTCATGTTCTGAAAATTTCAATGACACCCGTTCAACTCCACGATCCACTGTACTTGCATGTAATGGATAGCGAAAAACGTGTTTGGCCATTCCAATCATCAAGGGCGAAGGGGATTGGCCCGAAAGTTGCACGTGACCGCCAAACCACCGACGCCGCCGTCGTAGTAGTCGGTGTCCTCGGTGAAGGCAATATCCATTATCAACTGGTGTGAGGACAGCCAGATTTTTTTTCTTACGATGTTGTGGGACTTTCCTTGTAGGCTTGCCAACAAGTTTTAGTGGAAGTTGTTGGCGAAAAAAGTGAAGACCGGTCAGCGTTGCCACACGCCACTCCTTCCATGGTTCCATCTCTTAATGGAACATGTGATGCAGCAAAGCAGTTGTAATTCAACAAAATGAATATCCCATGCCATCCCGCATCCACGAGGCGTGCAACGTTGCATTATTTTTATCCTCATGAGCGATTTCTTTGCGACCGTTAATGGCACTGATACATTTTGCTTCCATGTGTGAAAGATGAATCGAAGGAACCGAGACACCTTGCATCGAGAAATTTCCGTGGAGGGTTCCAGATGGAGTGTCTGTCAGTCATGTATAATCTTTTAGAAGTTGGAATCGAGTCCCACGAAAGAGAAGCAGAACGCTTCCATATCACTATATCACGGCCATTCCGTGGACGTTTCACTTGATTCCGAGGGAAGCAACGCCAGGGTTCCACGGAGGAAGCTGAACACGCGGCTGGTTGTCCGTGTGAATCATCATTCTGGCTGATATTTCCACCGGATAAAAGCTGCGCTAGACTTCATGGAAGGAAGCTGAACACCGGTCTCTTTGCGAATGTCGACTCTGACATACATCGCCCAACGGGCAGCAGGTGTTGATCGAGCGGCACAACGTTGACCACGAGGAACCTGCCCGCACATGTCTGCGATTTCACTGAAAAATAGGGAGGGATCTCCCACCACAGCAGCAGCAGTTTCTTCGACGAACTTCTTCTTTTAAGCGCGAGCGCGGTCTGGGTGGGACCACGTCCCCGCCATGTACGCTACGGCCAGGCGGCGTGAATAAGTCCGCAGGGCTGCCAAAATGAATGGATCTTCCCGTGATTCTTGAGTAAAACTCCCGCATACTTCACACCCCACACATCCGAAAAGCTGCGTACTGCAGTCACCACCGAACCACCGGCCACTGGGGCGAGTTGTAGTCGTCCAACAAACACACGAACAATGCTTGAGCTTCGACCGTAGACACGGTAATATATTGTCTGCCTTTGAGCGAGGTAATGCCTTGTTGGGCGGACGTGTGACGCGCACTGAGAAATGCCGTCTCGCCTCTATCCCAGTTCCTGGCTAGACCGACCTCTTGCCAGCTGCATGCTGTACTCTCTATAGCGTTCCAAGCTTGTGGCTACGCCAGACTTGGCTCGTCGCCAAACCTAGCCATTGCCCGCGCTCCACCCTACCAAGCAATGCGGCCTCCGTGCGAGCTTCTGTACTCACTTCACCAAACACATTTTCCCGACCGCAAGCAAGAAGTTCATTTCACGTCGCCTCGGCTAGGTTTCATGTCATGTCTGTGTTTGCAATCTTGAAGGCGTTCACCGCCCTCCCTCTAGAAAAATGGAGTTCTCCTTATTCGAGCGCCCAGCTACTGCTCTCGCCCACTACCCCATTCATTATTCGTTCCCCACCGACGGTTGTACTGCGCCAATCATCCGGGTTCATCCAAACACAACCCTTATCCCAACCCTGCCCCCGATGGCGCCATCTTCCCACCAACCGAGCTCCTCGCTTCCCCAATCGTTTCCCGCCTACCTCGCGTGCAATTTGTTAACATGTACAGCATATCCACTATGCTACAAGTCAGCGCAGACTTAAAGCATAGTGGATATGCTGTACATCTTAACACGTGTTCGCAAGCGATGGCGAATAGCATGCGGATGCTACCCAGTCGGGTGACTGGAGCGTAGTTCCTTCCGTAGTGTCGTCCTGCCCGTTGGCGGTGTCCCCCGGCGACTAAGCGGGCCTTGAAGCGGCTGTCGGCCTTGATCTTGAACACGACGCGTGTGTCGAACACGTCTTCATCCTTCGGTACCAGGCTGATGCGTACTTTCTTGTACACTGTGTGCCTGGCGAGATTACCCATCTCGGTGTTGATAGCGCTCTTCCACTGCTCGCGTTGTGGTGAGTTCATGGCTTCGGTGTACGTGCTCGGAGTTTTGATCTCTTGGTTTGTCTTCCCCAAGAACCCTTTGCTCGAGGTGCTTGTGGCATAAGCATACGCCCGGGCTTCGGCGAAGGGGTCTTCATCCAGGTGAGCAAAATCCGCCGCGTCGGTGGGGCATCGTTCCTGCGCTAAGTGGGTGAGATCGAGTTGTTGATCCTCGGTGAGCTCCAGTGGGTANTTCATGGCTTCGGTGTACGTGCTCGGAGTTTTGATCTCTTGGTTTGTCTTCCCCAAGAACCCTTTGCTCGAGGTGCTTGTGGCATAAGCATACGCCCGGGCTTCGGCGAAGGGGTCTTCATCCAGGTGAG